ACGAGTTTATACATACTGCTTACACCACGTACATTAAACCGACTTGGTGATATGCAATGTGTTGCGGGTTTGACCAAATCACAATCACCCATATTGTCGACTGTCTAACTCGTTGACATTCAAACCGTGCCATCACTAGTCACCATATAATGGTTGACTGGTTAGTTTGATTGACCTGACATTGACACTTTGCAAACCTCGACTTGATTCATCAACTTGGATATTCATGTAATATTGGGTTTGTATCATCACGTTGGACTCGTTATCAAACACCTTGATGTGTCCATGCAGCACAAACTCGATATACACACATTAGTTACTGTTTGACATGACTGGGTTGATCATCAATACCAGACAATGCAACTGTATTAGTTGCATGATACAATCAATCATGGTTGGTTCATCACCATCAAATATCAAGTGTTGATCACGTATGCATTGATTTGTAATTTCATGGTCCGTTGGCAATGCACACTATGATATGATTGACAAGTTGTTGATTTGCAGTAATCAGATGTGCATCACCTGTAACATTGGATGCAATTGACGAGTTGTAACCGCAATTCAACAATCATCGATATGTTGGTGATTGTATTGACTATATGATTGGTATTGATTAGCTGTCATGATCGATTGGTGAGCAATACAATACACATTGATTATGACGTGTTGCAACTAGTTGATATATGCAGAGTCGACTGATGATCAACTATATGTTGATGAGTAACTCTGTCACTGTTGGTTTGATTGGTTATTGCTACTGCTTGTATATGCAGTGCATACATGTGTGATGTATTGGATATCGGTGTTGTGTATGTTGGACAATATATTGTTGCTCATGAACGTATAGTGACATATTGATGTAGTATAAGTTTGGAGGAAGATCACAGAGATGTAAGACAAGAAGAAGGAATGAACCAGAATAGTGGATTGTATTTATTTATAAGAGAACCTTGTCTCATATATATAGTAAGTAGTAGTGGTGAATTAGTGACGGTATAAGCGTCACTCCTAAGCTTCACCATTAAGGGTTCCCAAGCGTTCCAGTCATTGCATAAAGTGAGGCAACGGTCATCACCATATCTAAGCATACCATGTGTATAGCTTACTTGTTTATACACTGCTTGTTACTAGACCCCATCCTGACTGTCTGGGTCCTATTACAAATGTCATACATTACCAATGTCTAACACCCCTCCACGTCGAGAACACTCTCGAAGACCGAGCAGGTTGACGAATTGTTCGAAGGCGGGTCTTGGTAATCCCTTTGTCAGAATATCAGCTACTTGATCCTTAGTACCGATGTACTCTGGTTTGATCAGTCCCTGGCTGATTCTGTCTCGTAATGCATTAATCTTAATGCCTATATGTTTGGTTGCCTCGTGTACGACGGATGGTCCAATCATGTTTGATATCGCCGATTGCGAATCACAGTATAACGTTGTTGGTCCATCTTGTTTGAAACCTAACTCTCCAAGTAGATCGCGCAGAAACAATAATTCTCGCGATGCTGATTCGGCAGCAGTGTATTCGGCTTCCATAGTAGATACGGCCACACACGTCTGTTTTGATGACCTCCACGATACAAGTGCATTGCCTACATAACATAAATATCCAGACGTAGACTTCCTGGTCTTTACGTCTCCAGCCCAATCGGCATCTGAGTAACCACTCAATGATGCGTTGGTTCCTC